CCAATGCAGCTGCAGCCCTGGCTTCCTCAAGGTCGCCTTGCTCCTGCTGTATACTGGTCTCCACATCATCGATCTGCTCCTGAAGGTCCTCAAGTTCAGAGTGCTGACGTTCCCTGCGTACTTCCAGGTTCTCAAGTCTTTGCTCTCTCTTTTTGATGTCCTGCTCTTGTTTCTGAGAAGCTTGCTGGCAAGGACTGTAGCTTTCTTGGCCTCATGATGGGGCCCCCAGGCCTCAGACAGGGCCTGGGCCACCTCGGGACTGAAAGGATTATTCGGAAACTGGGATATCTGATACACACGGAATAACTCGTTGTGACCATCTCGAGCAACACGGGAAGCTGCGGGACGGGACGCGCGCCCCTTTCGAGCACCCTGCCCTCCTTCACCTCACCAATGTCCTCCGTTGCCACTCTTTCCACCAGCTCCACATGTTCCACTTCTCCTTCATCCTTTGCCTCCTCCATAACGTCCTCCTTGTACTCCATCTCCTCCGCTCCACACACCTCCCGGGGGAAGGGCGTCGGGTTGACGGAGACGAGGTAAGGCCGTTCCACAGTGATAGCACCATTTATAGTGCTCAGGACTGCTTTTGCACCCACACACCGAGCAAGCAAAACCCACAGGAAGGCCACGATGACTCAGGGTCATCGGCGGCCCGCGGAACTGAGGGTAGAGGAGCGCGCTGCGCACGCCTGTCGTGCAATGCTCGAGCGAGGTTGGAAGTTAAGGAGCAAGGCCCCTTGAGCCAAAATGGCTACGGTCCCTCTTCCTCCTCCTCCTCCTCCTCCCCTCCTATCCTCCTCCTCCTCCTCCCTCCTCCCCCTCCCCCCCCCCTCCTCCCTCCTTCCTCCCTCTTCCTCCTTCCTCCTTCCTCCTCCTCCTTCCTCCTCCTTTCCTCCTTCCTCCTCCTTCCTCCTTCCTCCTTCCTCCTTCCTCCTTCCTCCTTCCTCCTTCCTTCCTTCCTTCCTTCCTCCCTCCTCCTCCTCCTCCTCCTCCTCCTCCTCCTCCTCGTCCTCGTCCTCGTCCTCGTCCTCGTGCTCGTCCTCGTCCTCGTCCTCGTCGTCGTCCTCCTCGTCCTCGTCCTCGTCCTCGTCCTCGTCCTCTTCCTCCACCTCCTCCTCCTCTTCCTCCTCATTCTCCTCCTCCTCCTCCTCAGGATGTCTGGGACAGGACAGGACGCCGAGCACGTGCCGTGCGCGCGCGCTGCGACGTGCCAGGAGGGCCCAGCGAAACTCGAGCAGCCCATCTCGCCGAAGGGCGTCCGGGGCGTTTCGCCCGGTTCGTTTCGCCCGGGTTTGCTTTCGCCCGGTTGGCTTTCGCCCGGGTTGATTTTCGCCCGGGTTGGCTTTCGCCCGGGTTGGCTTTCGCCCGGGTTGGCTTTCGCCCCGGTTGGCTTTCGCCCGAGGTGGCTTTCGCCCGGGTTGGCTTTCGCCCGGTTGGCTTTCGCCCGGTTGGCTTTCGCCCAGGTTGGCTTTCGCCCGGTTGGCTTTCGCCCGGGTTGGCTTTCGCCCGGTTGGCTTTCGCCCGGGTTGGCTTTCGCCCAGGCTCGTTTTCGCCTGGGTTCAGCGCCGCGGGGCCCAGCGCCGCCCTGGCCGGCGGTGCCGCCCCAGCCGCGGTGCCCGAGGCCGCTAGCCCTCGCTTGGTGCCAACGAACCGGCGTGGGCTCAAATTGCTTCACGCAGGCTGCTGCTACAGGATCAAGCACACCAGCAAGAAAGGCGTTTCAATGTGGGAGTGACGGGAATGGATCCCGGGCGAGGGCCCCCGGCCGGCCCCGACACAACCCGCCCGTTAGGGTCCGCCCGACGCGCCCCGGTCCGCCCGCCCGATCGGACCCGCACGCTAAGGTTCGCGCATGCGCACTCGAGCGCGCCCCCACACTTTACTGTCCCGCCCGCCCGACTCGACCCGCCCGTCAGGGTCCGCCCAACCCGACTCGACCCGTCCCGCCCGTTAGGGTCCGCCCGACCCGACCCAACCCGCCCGTTAAAGCTCGCGCGTGCTCGTCCCGCCGCGCCCAACACTGTAGTGTCCCGCCCGCCCGACCCGACCCGCCCGTTAGGGTCCGCCCGGCCCGACCCGACCCGTACCGCCCGTTAGGGTCCGCCCGCCCGACCCGACCCGCCCGTTTGGGTTCACGCGTGCTCACTCGAGCGTGCGTCCACACTTCAATGTTCTCCCTGCCCGACCCGACCCGCCCGCTAGGGTTTGCTCGACCCGACCCGGACCCGCCCCGCCCCCGTTAAAAAAAAAGGAATAAAGCAAACAGAAAAAAAAAACAAAACATACACGAACAAAAACACGGAAAAAGATAATAAAAATCGGATAGCAAAAAAAGAAAAAAAAAGCAAAAAACAAAAAACAAAATTAAGAATGAAAAAAAAACAAAAAAAAATAAAGAAAAAAAAACAATGAAAAAAAAGTGGTCCGCCCGGCCCGACCCGAAACCAGCCCCGTTAGGTTTCCGCGTGCTCACTCGAGCGCGCCCCACCCTTTACTGTCCCGCCCGCCCGACCCGTACCCGCCCGTTAGGGTCCGCCCGACCCCGACCCGAAGCCGCTTCGCCCGCCCGGTGTTCCCCTGCCCCACCCTACCCGCCCGTCACGTCCCGCCCGTTAGGGTTCACGCGTGCTCACTCGAGCACGCCCCACATTTTAGTGTCCCGCCCGCCCGACCCGACCCGCCCGTTAGGGTCCGCCCGGCCCGAACCCGCCCCGCCCGTTAAGGTCCGCCCGACCCGACCCGACCCGCCCGTTAGGGCTCACGCGTGCTCACTCGAGCGCGCCCCACACTTTACTGTCCCGCCCGCCCGACCCGACACGCCCGTCAGGGTCAACCCAACCCGACCCGACCCGCCCCGCCTGCCAGGGTCCGCCTGCCCCGCCCGACCCGCCCGTCAGGGTTCACGCGTGCTCACTCGAGTGCGCCTCCACACTTTAGTGTCCCGCCTGCCCGACCCGACCTGCCCGTTAGGGTCCGCCCGACCCGAACCCGCCCCGCCCGTTAGGGTCCGCCCGGCCCGACCCGACCCGCCCGTTAGGGTTCACGCGTGCTCACTCGAGCGCGCCCCATATTTTAGTGTCCCGCCTGCCCGACCCGACCCGCCCGTCAGGGTCAACCCGACCCGACCAGACCCGGCCCCCTCGCCAGGGTCCGCCTGTCCCGCCCGAGACCCGCCCGTCAGGGTTCAGCGTGCTCAACGATTACTCGAGCGGCGCCTCCACACCTTCGTGTCCCGCCTGCCCTCCCCGACCCGCCCTGTTAGGGTCCGCGCCGACCCTTCATTTCCCCGCCCGTCAGGGCCCGCCCGGCCCGACCCGACCCGCCCGTCAGAGCTCACGCGAGCTCACTCGACCGCGCCCCAAACCTCAGTGTCCCGCAGCATCCGGGACCTCCTGGACACCCCCCCCACGTCTCTGCGACCCTTTCGCCTACTCAAGCGGCGCGCCTCAAAGGCTCTCGGGGGTCAGCACGGCGGCGGCGACGGCCACGCCAGCGACGGCGGCGCCTGCTTTTGCCCCTGAGCCTGCCCCGCCTGCTCCCCGCCCGGCCCCGGCGAAAGCCAACCTTGGCGAAAGCCAACCCGGGCGAAAGCCAACCCCGGCGAAAGCCAACCCGGCGAAAGCCAACCCCGGCGAAAGCCAACCCGGCGAAAGCCAACCCCGGCGAAGCCAACCCGGCGAAAGCCACCTGGCGAAAGCCAACCCCGGCGAAAGCCAACCCCCGGCGAAAGCCAACCCCGGCGAAAGCCAACCCCGGCGAAAGCCAACCCCGGCGAAAGCCAACCCCGGCGAAACGAAGCCCGGCGAAACGAAGCCCGGCGAAACGAAGCCCGGCGAAAGCCAACCCCGGCGAAAGCCATCCGTGCCGTCCGCGGGCCCTGTGCCCGTCAGGGTCCCGGCGCTGGACCCTGCGTGCCCAGCGCTCGGCTCATGCTTCCCTGCACGTGGGGCCAGGAGCCAGGATGGGATGAGGACAACATCGGACAGGATAGGACAGGGGACAGGGTGAGGCTGGACTTCCCTGCGCGTGGATCTCTAGGACAGGATGAGGGCAAGATCGGCTAGGATAGGATCGGATTTCCCTGCACGTGGAGCTAGGATAGGATGAGGACAACATCGGATCAGCACAACTCGGGGATCTCTGAAATCTGACGGTTCTGGAGGATGTTTCCGGCGCCGCGGCTGTTCCAGAGCATTCTGGAACGCTCGGGGAGGAGAAGGAGGAGGAGAGGAGGAGGAGGAGGAGGAGGAGGAGGAGGAGGAGGAGGAGGAGGAGGAGCCCCGCCCGACCATGCCCCTGCTCACGCCCCAACCCCACCCCATGGGGCCAGAGTAGGGGCACGGACAAGAACCTTGCCACGGGTGCCAAGCTTTTGATCCATGCCCTTCTCCCCCTGGCGCCCAGAGTGGGGGGCAGCACCATGGGTATGGATGGGGAGGGAGGGGATGGAGGGTGAACGTCGATCGCCGAGGGGATGGGTCCCGAGGCAGATCCGGAGCGGAGTTGGGTCGGGTGCAGGGCGAGAGGGCGGTACAGTGGAGGCCAGTCCACAAGACACATTCCACAAGAAACCCAACCCTGAGACCCCAGGACGTCCATTGGTTTTGGCGTCGGAACGTCACGCTCTCCATAGCAAATCCATCAGAACCAAAGAAACCCAGGGCACCCTGGAGGCAAGCATGGTATTTTGGCATGAGCCGCCACTGTAGGCTCTCTCAGAAGCCCTGCCCCCCCCCAGCCCCGCCGTCTTGGGGGTCACAACACGGTGTCGTGACAGGCCGTGCGGTGACCTCGAAATCCGAAGAGACCGCACAGCGCGGTCCTGCCACCGCAAAGTGTTGGTGCCTTGGGAGGCCCGAGTCGCCCGAGACATCCTCGCTGAAAACGACCCAGGTCCCAAAACCAGCGCAGTCACCTCGAAGCCTCACTGACGCACCACACGGTGTGGCCACCGCACCATCTGGCGGCCTCCTCGCTTTCCGCGCGCCGCCGAAGAC